GGCAGATCTAACTTCAAGGCATTCATAAGGATGTTTGCAATAGAGTAGAGAACCTGATGGTGAAAAAAATGCAGCTTGAGACTAGGTAAACTAAATCATACCGGTACAGTGGGAGTTTCATGATTTGGGTCGAAATTAGGAGACCACTTGAGTAACTTCATTGATTTGTCTGCGATATTAAGATATTTCTTAGAGAAAATTCTAGTGTAGTCTTCAACCACTGTTAGTTGAATCAACACATGTCTGTCATCCATGAGTCTCACTTTTCACTTGTCTATTAGCTTAAGATCATCAACACTTTTTCTGATAACATCCATAGGAGTGTCCCCACTGAAATTTTTCAATAAGAGCAAACTTGAATTTTTCCGTCAATGCAGAAATTTCTGATTCAGGGAAAAAAATTCTTCTTTTCCACATTTCCTACTTTCCTTCTTAAGAAAAGGACAATCATCTGTACCCGCGCGACATTCCTTATAGTTTGAGGGGAATATCACCGTGGACTCCATCTGAGGGTTACCCATCACGTGGGCAAAAGAGAATTTGTTCGGCTCAACCAAAGAAGAAGGAAGCACCGCAAGAGCGAGGAGAGTTGTCAGCGTTAAGCTACAACGAGGTTGTTGGCAGTTAAAGTGTCGGCAAAGAGAGGAGTTGTCAGGCGCAGTTGCAGCAGGAGAAGGAAGCAGCGTTGAACAAAAAAACCGCATTGTCGGGAGCAGATGCACCACACGAGAGAGGGAACTGCGACGAAAACTCGAGACGGTGACGCCGATGCAAATGCCGACGACGGAGCGAGAGTCGACGATGCGAGGTCCTCTCCTTCGAGCAGCAGTAGAATCAATTGCAACCAAAATCTCCCATCGAAAGCCCAAGCTGTATGTATATATATATATATATATATATATAGTCGTTAAGACACCTTGCATAGAGCAAAAGAATTTATTATTATATTCACATGTTGGGATTGATCTCCATATTTTCATATTTCAACTTAGAGCACCTTGCATAGACAAAAGAATTTAATATTATATCTATACATGAACTATTATTACATGTCTACCCATCAAATGATATCACACGTTGACTCTACTGAATTATTTTGATGTCACTCATTTACTCCGCATGGATGGATTTTCCTGATAAGTATTCACCAACTAATGACATATCACAATGCTAACTACAATAACTCAAAGGAAAAGAGAGTAGTATTAATATTATGTAGCACATATATGTTTAGTCTTACTTTTAAGCTTTTAATGGAGACTCAAATTCAAAATTTAATTCTATATTCAACCATCAACCCTTGTTCATATGTAGATTCAAGAATTTTTGCTAATGTGGGTGTAGATCCAATGTCCATAATATTTGAAGAATTCACTTCCAACTATAAACTTCTTACCCTATAACTTTTCAAAAGGATTAGGTTTCACTTTGCATAATTTTATATCTTTGTGTTTGTTTTGTTTAAGAGAAGGTAAAGATATTTTTAGAGATCTTAATTTCTTCTATTGTATTGCCAACAAATCTCTCATAAGATGACTCCATTAGGTTTTGTAACATCCCAAAAAATCACCCGTTGAGATATTGTCCAATTTGGCCAAACGGTCTCATGGTTTTGCCCCATTGGTGTAACTTCCTAGTAGTTCACCATCACAGGAATGCTTCCATGCAAACATACTTAACTTTGGAGTTTCTATCAAAATTTTAACATTTATACCAACAAGCGCCTCATTTTTTTAAGAGTTTAGATTCATTCTGCTTGAGGGGTTTCACAATCTCTCCCCACAATTTATTGACATCCTTGTCAGTGCTCTGAGCGCATAATAATCAACCAGACATATAGGATTCTAGAGGCGGCCCCTATAAATTTAAGAAGTGACTCTACCATAAAGCACTTTGTCCCATCTTGTGTTCATGAGGTGGCTTCGATAGCGTAGCACTTTGTTCTGTATGACACTTTGTCCCATCTTGTGTTCATGAGGTGGCTCCTATGGCGGAACACTTTGTTCTGTATGACACTTAGTCCCATCTTCCTGCTAGTGTCATGCCATGATACCTTTTGTGATAGTCTGAACTCTCACTCATTGATATATTGCCCTCTTTGGCCTAATGAACTTACGATTTTGCTCTAATAATGTAACTTCCTTGGGAGGTCATCAATCCTAGGAGTGCTCCCATGTGAGTAGACTTTGGAATTTCTATCGAAACTCCAACCATTACACCAACAGTCACCTCATTGTTCAAGCGTTCAGCATCATTTCACTTGAGGGTTTTCATAGTTTTTTGGTAAATTCTAGCTTTAGACTACCCTAATTTCTTCCCTAAGATTTTTTCTGATGCCCTTAATGATAATAACAAGTCTCAAATTAATCCATGCTCAATTACAACGTATTTAAAATTTTATAGTATGCATTAACTCCATATTCATCTTGCTTATAATGCTTAAATTGTTCATGCAGTTGATCTTCTTACTCGTTTAATGAAAAATATTCCTCTTTAAATTTGTGTAATATATCAACTCGATTAGGTGTAATCTTATTTGCAATACTTTGCCAAAATTAATTTTAATTTAGAACATTCAAAGGTTTCAAAATCAAACTGTTTTTAATATTTAAAAGATCTTCTAATTTACCAATCTACCCTTAAAAATTCTCGAGAATATACTTGTCATTATCCTTCTCATCGAATGTTGGAATGTAGGTTCATGACATATGGTTATATTGTATTCATTTAAATCATGAGTCACCCAATTTTGCATAAGCTGCAAGTTCTATTAATTTTATTTTTTAATGCAATTAGCATGCTTTGCTTTTAGCTGAGAAGAGGACAAACCATTAATTCCAATGCTAATTTGTTGTAGAACACTTAAGAGCCTATGGTTTACTAATATAATCTAAGGAAGATGCACAATGACAACACATTGAAAAGTTTGATATGCAAGTAACTAACTCTTATATTTAGCAACAAAATGTTAATGTAAAAAAAACAACAATTACTCTTCTTTTATTCATGCATGTCAATGACACAAAATGATGCATCTTCGATGCCATCTGCATGGTCTGTCGCGTACAAAAAATTCTTATGCTAATATAAAAGTATGCATGTGTGTGTGATCAAAGTGAAATCGAGTCCGCTGAAGGTCCCGTTGCTTGATCTAGCCACGAACCATTCTATCAAAATTTGATTTTGTGAGATTTAAGCTTCTTGTCATAGAGTGCCTTCGATTTAGTAGTGTTTTATATTTATTTGTATTTTTTATAATTTCTAACTATTTTACGTCAGATTTCTTTTTTTTAATAAGAATTTATATATTTTTTAATACGTCATATTTAAAATAACATGCGCCATCCTATATGATGTGTTATAGCTATTGGGATTTTTGCACTATTGTGCGTTATTGTCATTGATAAATGTGCTTTCATCCTAATATAATTTTACTCTCGCCAAAATTTGAAATTTCACAAGAATGAATAAAATGTTTTAATAACGATCAATATTCACTCTATGAAAGGACTCTAATATGCTCACATTTGACAGATTTCAATCATCCCCACACTAATTGCTGAACAAATTAGTATTAAGAATAAGGATAGAAATCAACCAAAAGGAAGTTGTAGGCCTTATGCCAGTACATGGAGAGTTGCTCTTGAAATAATCATCAATACTTGCGAAGTATTCAAAGAATACACATCCCCAACACATTAAGAATTGAGGAAAATTGAAGTTCTCTTTTAATACTTAATGCTCAATCAATTTTTCATAAATCTATATATGTGGCACATATATTTTATGTAGTTGCATATCTCCCACTTAATCCTTTATATTTACATATAGAGCAATTTGATGTTAAAGTTATGCATGAAAATGTATACTTCACTTTTAAAAAGTGATATTAGTATATTTTTTTATGTGATATTAAAGATATGGGTGCTATATGCGTAAATATGAAAGTGTAGGTGTGAATATGTAAATACATAAGAATTGTGTGCTATGTATCTAAATGCCCCTTAATTTTTACATTATGTAGGTGTTCTATATGTATAGGGCCAACCGAGGTCAAATGATTAACCGACCGAAGGTTATCCCTAGAGCTATTTAAAATCAATGTTCCTCGAAAGCCTCGTCAACTATAGAAATCAGTGGACATTGAAGCACGTGTGATAGCAACAAATCAGCTTCTTTCCTTGGTATCGAGAATTCTATCAGCATCATACGAAAACATTTAAGAAAATCACAACAATGAATATCTCAGAGCTATTGCAAATCAACGAGACTTCAGGTTCTGGGATGCAGCATTAGCATAAATAAATTAATTCCATGACTGTAGAATTAGCAAATCAACTACTAGAAGTAGGTGGAAATCACAGGAGGGGAATAGAAATTGCAGGAACGAAATTTTTTTATTCAATAAGCTAAAACTCTAACTATTTATGATGGTGATAGGATTGAGATCTTTTGCAGCAAGTGACTAAACCTAATGAGGAAGTAAACATATTGGAGAACACAACGATCAACATAATAGGCATGCTTTGACGCAAACTGAAAAGAAAATATAATTCAATTTAAAATTCAACTTCTATGCCTTTGATGATTTTAAACGAATAACTTGTTTTTGGAATTCTTATCTTTATAATAGGATGACTTACATACATACCACTCAATTCCTATGTTTTTACATATCTAACACCTAAACTTCAATTCCTACATATTTGCCACCTTACCTATGCATGGAAAGGTTTATTTCACTTTTTAAATTTAAAATGGTGGTATTTTTTATGTGACATGAAATATTAGTTGTTAGATATGAAAATACATAGGAATTGGGTCCTCCTATGTATGCAAATGCCCATGCCCCTTTATAATATTCTGTATTCCCAAGTCTCATACTCACAGTTTGCAAGTTTTATTATTGCTCAATTCCATATGGATGCTTATTTACCATGTTCATTCTTGCATTCCTTTTTTCTGTAAAATATGCTTTTTTTTTACTTTTTCTTAAATAGAAGCGGGAGTTCTCCAGTCACTGAGGTGGAACCTTATATACCGTTCAACATAAATCCCTCAGGAATGCAGCCTGTTCTTACTGCCACCTATCTGTTGGCTTTTCCTAGCATTATTGCAAGGTTATTCTCATTCGTAACTTAATTTTGGTTAATGTATTCACAGGATTTTAAAATTAACTTTATTTATTTTATGTATCCTGACTTAATCATTGCATTTTTTTTCTTCTGGGCAGCATTTTAAACTCTCCATTCTGGGAAAACCTTAAAGAGATACTAAATCCTGGGAGTTCTATTGGTGCAGAGCCATGGGTCTTCTATGCAGTTTATGCTTTTTTCGTTTTCCTGTTCAATATCTTCGACATTGTAAGTATTTCAGCAAGCATTGCTGAGATAAATTACAATTCCTTTTAAGGCATTGGGAACTATATTACATTCTTTAAGTACATGTTCATAGATATTTAAAATTTATGATTTGTGAGAGCTAAATCTCTAGGGGTGTACTTGGAGAAATTATTAGGTTAACTGTTTTGTGACCTCGAATCAATGAGTTCAAGGCACAAAAAATCTCTCTCCATGGTGCACGGTAAGCTATGCAAGATAAGTTTGTATAGAACTCCCTCTCTCTGGACCCTAAAGCCCCTGCATTAGGCTAATAAATATGTTCACTTTTTGTGCTCTATTTGGATTGAATATTTTGCACGTTGCATGATTATGGTCATAAGTTAGTCGGTATGGATATAGAAATAAATTTCAATTACCCTGTTTATAAAAAAGAAAAAAAGGTTATCTTGTGCTTAAACTAGAATTTTCTGTTTTGTAGAATTGATAGGCAGAATTTCAGTTTGTTGTTCTTATGTATGCTAATTTGTTAAATAATACATCGCGAATATTGAAAACATGTCATTGGTTTCTTCATGCAAATGGTAGTTTTACGGTAGAAGTCCATAAGTTTCTCTTCAGTTATTGTAGATGTGTTTTTTTTTAGCTTAAAAAAATGATCAGACTGGAATTGAGTAAATACTGGAAGGAAGAGAAGTACAGAAGTGAAGTGCTCTCTTCATGGTGGCCAACTTTTCTTGCAAGAATTTGTTTGAGTGCCTATTATATTAGTTATATGGAGGAATGATGTCTATAAACAGTCTTTTCCCAAAGGAGCTTTTTTACTTGTGGAAGTAGTGGTCTCTGATCTGTAGTGGCCAGGAGGGCTTTATAACTGAAAGGGTTGACCAAATATTGCTGCCTTTTGCCAAAAGATTCTTTTGAATTCTTATGCAATTTATCAAGGATTTAACTTCAACCACCCTACCCAGGACTTTGAATTAACCAAAGACAAGAACGGACGGTCGACGATAAAAATTAAAATTTTCAATCACTAACATTTTTTAATCTAAAATAAATTTAATTGAAGAAAGTAATTTGATTGACCAAATAAAATTTTCTTTTCAGGTTGCTGACTTCGCCTTCTGTGCACATGATTTTCTCTAATATTCATCTTATTCAAAAGTTTAAACATGAAAAATATTAAAACAATATAACGAGTTTTACCAAATAAGCCAGTGGAGCAATCATATTTCTAAGTCATGGACCTCATTCCAAGATTTTTTTCTTCCAAACCAACTCCCGATAGGATGCAATTAGTCGAGCATGAGAAGTTGCAAAAATATGTTACACACTTGATGGTTAGGTGCTTGGTTCGTGCTAGTAGTAGCCCAAATGCAGCTCCAGCTCTGATTCTACGGAAAAGAATGCCTATTTGTTCTATCAGAATACCCTTTGAAAAACTTTGTGTTTTAGAGTTGCATAAAATTGATATGAGCATAAATTTTGTAGTGGGACTGCGCTGTCTCAGACACAACAAGTTGAATTTATTGTAGTGATGGTAGATCGATTTTTGAAGCCTCCAGAGAAGAAGGCGAAATCTTTCCTAGGCGGGGAAAATGAAGCAGGAGTGTCTTGCACGGGATCTAGATCCAATTTTCACAAGATGTTGTGGTCTCGTAGTTATGCGGTTCACAAAATTTTTGCAATCTTGGGAGGACAGGCCAGAAACTTTCCCATTAACAATTTTGCATGAATTGTTTTATTTCTTTTCTGATTTTCTTATCTATTTCTTTCTTTCTAAATAGGGTATTTTATATGAAGAGCTCATATATATATGTGTATGTTGCTATTTCGGAAAACTAACTTTAATATATGCTTTATGCTTTAAGAAGTTCTGTATTATCTTCCTTTTGTAAGTGGTCTGCCCTCGCCAATTCGTTCTTTAACTGCAGTTTTCAGTCCAGACAGCCACCGAACTCTTCTAAGATGCTCTCCAAACTGCAGATTTTATATCCCCCCCCCCCCCCCCCCCCCCCCCCACCCCCCCCCCCTCCCCCCCCTCAAAATGTCATTGACCTGGCACACATCATTCCTTTGCTAATTCACAACCACCTCCCTCTAAATTTACTTTCTAAACACCTTCTAGGAGCCCTAGAATGGTATAACTTTGTGCTAAACTAAGTAATTTCTCTTTTGGAAACAATTAATTACAGAATGATTTCTTGACAACTACTCCTAAGATAGAATATGTGAGTATTAACAATATTTCTATAGATGTGTCTAAGAGAATGATAGAATAATTAGGACTTAAAATTCTAGGGAACACACCATGGAACGGTTACCCGTGGATGGCTAGCACCAGCTAGTTGGGCTCATGGATCCTGTTGAAACTGCTTAACTTATAGGGTAGACGTTTTCAATGCTTAGCTTAGAAGTGATATTCCAAGATGCAAAGTTTGGGGGTGCTCATTCAAGGGGCAGTGGTAATATTCGTGGTGGAAACTTGGAAATATCTTTCATAATTGAATCAATTAAATGGGATAAAAATATAATTTTAAGTAAACTCACCAAGTTTATTAAGGGAAGTTACCAAACATATCTAAAGGAAGATCCATCTAAATATCTTACAAAGAGACTCTCTTTTTCATATCATCGTATCATTTGAAACCTTATGGGTCTAAATAAGCATTATATAAGTTGAAACATTAATGAGAAAATTTAAAGGGGGCGATATCATCATGAAAGCTTTTTATGATGGAGATTGATTGTAATTCTAATCTTTAATTTTAATACTCTTAAGCTCTTGATTTGTAATTCCCTTCCTCTAATTTTTATTACTCCCTTTCTCCATGTTTTGTAACTCTCAAAGACACTGGTGTGTATCTGAGGGTGGAAAAACATCAGCGCAAGTTCAAGCCTTGATCGGTTCACCTTGCCACCTCCACAGTAGTACAGCTGGTCCGTGGGGCCTTTACTTGCTAGGTTTAGTTTAGAATTACAGTTATTTGTTTCTTCCTTGTATAAATATTTTCTTTAGAATATTGTCGATGACTTTTGCTTTGACTTTATGTCATTTGGAGAATTTTTCTCTACTTTCTGTTCCTATCGGAGTGCTGTATTCCTCTCTTTAAAGTGGTGTTTACTGTATCTTGATTTGAGTGCAAGTGGTTTATTTGCTTCTGTACATTAATAAGCATTATCTTGATTGATTACAAGTGGTGTTTACTGCATCTCCACACACATGACGATAGTGCTCAGTCCGTGTTTGTCTACATTGGCTTGATTGCACTAGTCTTTTTCCTTCGCGTGCAACTGTGGTTAGATATGTAAATACATAGGTTTTAGGTGGTATATATATTATAAGTGCCCCTTTTTTCTTTCATGATTTCTTTTATTTTTGGCATGTGCTGCAATTCTATGATTTTGATACCTCTGCCTCTGCAATGACTCGTTAATTTTTTCATTCTTTATTTTGTATATTTGGTTTCAAGGATTTTTTTTAACTTCATGGGATTTTTTTTTTTTTTGTTCCAATGGCTTTGATATATGCGTTAGGCCACGATCTCCTAGATCTATGATTGATTAACTTCTGCACTTGATGGAAGGAGATATTTTAATTAATTGCTTTTGTATTATAACATGGGTTTGATGTCTGTACAATGCTTAATTGAGTGGCTAAATAAAATTTTAGTTAGGTATGCAAAGTCTGTTCGCTTGTGGGATTCAATTTCTGTATGAAGTGAGAGAGATAAAAGTTTTGAGAGAGTTTATTTTCTTTTTCAAGCGCTAGGCTTGCATTCTTGATTTGCTTCCCAATTTTTTTCCCTACCTTTCATTCTCGCGCATTTTGGTTATTAGTTTGAAAGAATAATTGTGTTTAGTTAAAGTTGCCAGAACCTAATTTTTTGTCAGTTGTGTTAATTTCAATCGTGTACCTGACTCTCTTGATCCCAATTGTCATTGTTAATTGCTAGTAGAAGGCCATCAGGCTTTTTTTTTTTTTTTTTTTTTTTTTTTTATATTTTTTTTTTTTATTATTTTGATTTATATCATAATTTTTTTATTTCATTAAAATAATCTGGAATTATAGCTTGCCTTGCAAATTTTGCACACTTGTACGATGATTTTTCATAAACCTTTGATCTTAAGTTATTTTGCATCACTTGATAATTCTTATAATCCAATCTTGCCTTGACAATTGAGGGGGATTTTGCAGGCTAATTTGCCAAAAGAGATTTCAGACTATATGACAAAAATGGGTGCTCGAATTCCAAACATAAAACCTGGGAAGGCAACCGTAGAATACTTAACTAAAATTCAAGCATCAACTCGCTTTTGGGGTAAGAGATTTTATTTATTTCTGACAATCTAACAAAAGTTATTAGTTTTATGCTCCTGTTTTATCATCAATGGTTTCTTCCCTCCACATTCTTCAGTATTGGCACCATCAAGCCTTCATCTGACCAACTTAAAATTTAGAGGAGTTTACAAGCATACCACGCAATTCTTATTTATTTACTAATCTAACATCTAAAATTTCATATTTAAAAGCATAACACTCAAATTTTTAATATCACATAAAAAAATATCACTTTTACTGACTTTTAAAAGCAAATTACATATTTTTCGTGCATAGTTTTATTACACCAAAGTGTGATAAATGTAAAGATCCAACTGTAGGCGTTAGAATGTAAATCAATAAGACTTGCGTGGTATATATGCAAAATTCCTTGTAGTTTAATTTACTGATAAGTTACTTTAAATGTTTTTTTACCCTCTTATAATTTTTCTCTTAACAACACAGGTGGAGTTTTGTTAAGTATATTGGCTACCTCTTCTTCCATTCTGGATCACAATTTACGCCATATAAATGAACATTTCTCAGTAGGATTTACATCTGTGCTGATCATTGTAAGTTCTTTATCAGCTCTTTCTGCAATAAGAGTGTAATTTCTTATTAATGTTCAAAGAAATTGTTGGCTTAGGTTGGCTCCATAATTGAGTTAAGGAGATCTTATCAGGCTTACAATGTAATGCCTACTTTAAGCAAGGTTCTTAGGAGATATGGTGTTTAAAGAAATTCAGTTGTTTTTTAACTTCAGGTAATGTTTTGCTTCAATTTCATGCATCTTTTTTAGACAATTCTTTTATATTTACATATCTAGCTCCTAAACTTTCATATTTACATGTATATGACTTAAATATTTAAAAATAAATAAAAGTTTTACTGTTGTCAGCTTTTTAAAAGTGAAATACACTTCCCAAGCATAGTTTCTGACACCAAGGAATTATAAATATAAATATCAAACCTTAGTTGTTAGATATGTGTAAATACATAAGAATTATGTGCTATGGATATAAATTTTTTTTATAAAATTTTAGGAATCAGATTATTTTGTTCTTTTTGTGACTCGCAGATACAGGAGGAGATCAATGTGGTTAACAAAGTACAATCATCTTAATCTTTCAAGGAAGTGGGTTAAAAACATAATCTTTGGTTTAAAGCGGATAGGACTACCAGAGGGGAGGAGGCACAGAAGGCCGCTATTTCATTGAAGTAAAAGCAGAAAAATGTTTTATTGGCAGCACAATAAGTTGGAGAAAAAAATTTTGAACAGAAAAATATGTGCCATTTTTATTGTATTGTAGGTGGTTCAGTTCAAGGCTCTAGAGAGTAGATTTGAGTTACAGCTTTGCATATGTTAGCATTTCCTGATTTAGATGCCAACTTGCAGTACTTGTAATGATTAGTTAAATTTTTATGTATTTTGGGGGTGAACCACTATAATTGTTGATTGTATTTTTGAATAGTGTGGTGTAGTGTTGATAATCATATTGAAAATTTAAAATTTGCTCACACTATCCAATTTGCAGATAGACTTGCTCTAATATTATGATGAAGAATGCTTGCTGAAAGCATTCTGTAGGATTGTCAGTTATTCATTCCATATATTTAAAGAGAAGCATTATTTAAGTTTTTGGGAGATCAATTGGATTTATATTTGGCATACTTTAGCTAATAACTTGGGAGTAATGGAGCCATTATTGATCAAGTATTCACTGAGTATTTCTAAAATTCTCGGGTAAGGATATAATGGGTCAAGCACCATGAGATAGATCTTGTGGACTTCAAATTAAAATTATGATTATTATTATTACTGTTATTGCATTTTATAAACGTTGTTTTGCACATCAATTACAGCATTTGCTGAAATGCATCTTTTTTTCAGTTCAATTATAATATTAATAATTTTTGTTGGAGATTCTTACAGACGAGAAAATTGCTGAACAAGGTAGAAATTAAAAAACATGCCTTAAAAAGACAGAAAATTCTCATCATGAAACTCAATTAAATATTAGTGACAGTTTCATACATAATAGACAGTTATCATGCATCTACATATCTAACACTTGAACTTTCATATTTAGATACACGCTAATATTTAGTATCACATCAAAAATATTACTAATGTTAACCTTTTAAAAGTGCAACACATCTTTCCATGCATATGTTAATCACACCAATGTGTTATAAGTATGAATATCAAACATTTGATGCTACATAGTATATATGTAAATTTCCCTAACTATTATTATTATATTTCATCCATACATGATGTCGTCGACTTTGTAATGGTAGGTGGATAAACTGAAGGCAAAATGCTGAAGCGAGTGCCACTGGTCTTTCAAATTTGATGCAAACTTGTGTCTCCAATTCAATACTCTTTTGATAAAAGAAATATTAAAAGCCACAAATCTATGAACTATAAGGACAAAACAGCAAATCAAGATATTTTGATTGTACAAGATAAGTTGAAATTTCAAGTAGGGATTATAAATGATGAAAATAATGGATGGGAAAAACATACAGCAAGAAGGCTCTTTTATCACGCTGCAGCTTGAAATTCCTTCCATTAATGATGTGCATGTACTTGCAAGTTTCAATAGATTTTAATTTTGCATTATTATCAAATAAGTTTATGGGGGTATTTACATACCTGCCATAAAATTCTTATATATTTATATATCAGATACCTAAACTTTGATATCTAGTTATATAATGCTCAAGTCTCTCAATTACATCAAAATAAATGCATGAAGATGATGTATTTATTTTTAAGAAAATTTAGCATTGTGTAATAAAAACATGACCAGGGAAATGCCCATGTTCTGCAGGTGCATGATCAAATTAGATCTGTCCCAAAATCACCTCTGCAGCAGACACTTCAAAATCTGAAGGCTTTTTCTCAACATTGAGAGCCTGAACTTTGCCGTTTACTATATATGCAGACCACCTGCACAAAATAAGCAAAAAATTGGTTCAATCCACAAACCACAAGATGGATGAATTTCACTAAATTTCTCCCACTTCATTACTTCATCAAAAGAATGAGTAAAATGTTCTGAGAATCAACAAACACGACAATAATCTCTATCAACCTAAAAAGCGGGGCGAGGAAAATTTCCTTGCATACTTGCATTCTTGCATTCAATGATATACCCAACCTTAGAAACAACAATATTTTTACTGTGTTAATTGGTGGCGGGCCTGGCGGTAACCATCACCGCTCACCAAGTTTTACATTGATTTTATTTTACTACTGACTAAAAATTAAATATTAAGATTTTAACGAACCAAGGCTAAAAATATTTCAAATTCACTACATTTCAAAGAAAATGTATTCCTTTTTTGAAGATATACATACATTCCACTCGAACTCTTATGCATTCACATATCTATAATCTAACACCTAAGCTTCAATTTTTACATACACATCCCTTACATATGCATGAAAAGGCATATTTCACTTTTTAACAGTTAAAATAGTGATATTTTTTATGTGATATGAAAGATTTGGGAGGCATAAATGTATAAAAGTAAAATTTAGGTGTTAGATATATAAATAAATAAGAATTGAGAGGTATGTATCTTAATGCCCCTTCATTTTTTAGAAAACCAAATGGCCCGATGATGAAGAAATATTCTGATTTCCATCATTGTCCATAGGAGTGGAATACTTTCTATTACCACCAAGCTAGCACCGCAACTATCATTGGCACCATGTCTATTGGTTGTAGGCTAGAGAAAACTAGTTTGAGTTCACCTCAATAAATGCCATAACACTACAATCTTCCCACGGTAAAAATGCCATAACTCTATTTTCTCACTGTTCCAAGTTAACCCAAACCATGACTCAGAAGCGACAGATTTTATTACAAAATTATAACATGAGTACAAGGATGACTCCTAGCAAGTAAGAGTGCAGAAACAGTGACTCGAATACATAAACAGCAAGCCAAACAACACTAAACAGTAAGAAATAGAGCAACGCAGAAAATAGATTAAGCACAGATCGGAAACATTCCTGTACCGTGTCGGCGGACAGTAGAGAAGTCATCAGGGAGGCTGGTGAAAAGTTGGTGGCTGGATGGACATCGGAGCAACCAGCGGTGACTGGAATGATGTTGGAAGAACTTGGAGAGGCTGACGGTCAGCGGGAGGTGGCGCCGGAGAGGATGACTAAGACGGGATGAGAACTGCAAAGGGCTGCGGCTTACTTGGAGGAGTGCAGCATGGAGGGGCAGAACTCAGGAGTGAGCTGGGAAGGGTCAGGGGACCCGCTAACAGGTTGGAGGGGCGCTGAGAAGGGGTGCAGTAACTGTAGTATGACGAGGACTCAAATAGCCTGTAGGAGAAGCTGGAAGGGCGGTAGCAGTGGAGGGTGTGCCGGGAGGAGAGAGTAGAGTAGAGATACACACCAACCAGGTGGGATACAACCATAGCACCAGAACGCCAAAGGATACAACCTCGAACACGGGGAAAACCCCCAGGCATATCATCCGGAATAGAAAAAATCAGCAAGCCAAAAGCTGTCATGACCTATGAAAATAATAAGCATAAATAGAGGAGGAAGGGAAGACCATAAAGGTAAGATCTTGAGAAGGAAATAGGTGAAGAAAGGGAGGATGGTAACGACTAGGAGGAGGTAAGCAGCAACGGCTAGGAGGAGGTGTGTGATTAAGGCATGGGAAAGGAAAGAACGAGGAAGAGGAAGGGCGAATGAATCGGGCACGGGAGGGGGGAGCATAGTGTGGGATAAGTAGGTTGGACCGGCCAGGTTCGGGGAAGGTCGGGTCGGCTTGTTTTCCTGCCACGCCCGACTCGACGAGCTGCGGGGGTGGCAGCCCTGCGTCAAACTTTTGGGATTGGGCGAGCTTCCATATCATTTGTCGAAGCTTGCGTTTCTTTTTAGCATGGTATGAGGTCCCCGACATTGAATGTAGCTAAAATTTTGTAGTCACCTGACAGGTCAATTTTGTAGCTGTTGTTATTTAGTTTTTTAAGTATGCAGAACGGTCTATCGGCTCTGGACATGAGTTTTTCGTGTGCTCGTACGGGAAATCACTTTTTCTTAAGGCGGATCCACACGAAGTCTCTGAGGACTCCTTCTTTAAAAGTTTCTTTTTGTCAAGACTTATTGGCTTCTGCTTTATATTTGTGATTTTCCTGAGAAATTGCTCCCCCAACTTCTTCGTGAGTTGTTGAATTTGGTGAGCACATTTGGTAGAATCCTTGCTGATCTCAGTTGGGTGTAGAAGTGAGACCAACTTCAGTGGTGTGATCGGGTTGGGGCCGTACACAATTTTGAGTAGCGTGTGTCCTGTGATCTGGTTGGTTGAACGATTGCAGGCAAATTCAACTTGACGAGAATGAGATCTCATTGTTCGATATTTTTCCCTATGAAGCATCGAAGAAGATTCCCTAAGCTCCTATTAAATACTTTAGTTTGTCCATCTGTCTGAGGATGAGTTGCAGAACTAAATTGGAATTTTGTGACTAATTTGCTCCAGAGAGTCTGCCAGAAGTGGCCCAAGAATTTAATGTCCCGATCGGAAGTAATGGTCCTAAGAATGTTGTGAAGCCAAACGATCTCGCGGAAGTACAAATCAGCAATATGAGACGCATCTAACTTTCGGTGGCAGGCGACGAAATGCGCCATCTTTGAGAATCGATCATCCACAACTATGAAAGTCCTTATTTCTGTGTGCCTGGTAGCCTAATGACAGTCCATGCTGACATAAACCCAAGGCGCCTCAGAGACAGTTAAAAGTGTGTACAAACCCGTCTTTTGGCGACATAAAAAATAGTCGGCCACCGGAGTTTTGGCGACATAAAAAAATCAAACATTGTCAGATGTGACGCTCAACATCTCATGTTAGGCGGGGCCAAAAAAAATGTTCTTTCTCTAGTGCGAGAGTTTTATATCTATCAAAATGGTCGGCTAATCCGCTACTGTGGTTCACTTGGACGATAGCTAGGCGCAGTGAGAATCGGGGAATGCATAATTTGTTGTGGCAGAACAAGTAGTCATACATTTGGTAGAACTACCCGTGAGATTTCTCCCTACACTGTTCCCAAATTTCCTAAAGTCTTCATCATATAAGCCTTATAACTTCAAAGCCTATGATCTGCGCCTGGAAGGATGTGATCAAAAAGTGACGATGGTTTCAAGCGTCGCCAATGCGGTTCTGTTTTTTGGCTTTGTGCTTGAGTACGAATTGGAAGGACACTAAAAATTCCACCTAGGTAGTGTGGCGCCTTTTGAGTTTATTCTGACTGTTTAGAAATTTTAGAACTTCATGATCCATGAATAGGGTGAACTCCGTGGTGAGTAGGTAATGATTCTAGTGTTCTAGAGTTCTGACGATGGCATAGAATTCTTTGTCGTAGGTGGAATATTTTCGTCGAATCTCATTTAATTTTTTGGCTAAAATAGGTTATAGGGTGACCCCATTGGCTTAGTACAACGCCTATCCCTATTCCAGAAGCATCACTCAACCTCAAATGATTGAAACCTGGTAAGGCAATAACTGTGACTTGAGTGACCTTTTCCTTCAATATTTTGGAGCTGGATTGGGTTGTGACCGTCCATGTGAATTCTTTTTGTTTCAACAGCTCTGTAGGGGGCAGTGATAGTGATGAAGTTGCAAACAAATCTTCGGTAGAAAAAGGCTAGCCCCAAAAATTCTCGAAGTTCAGTAAAGGATTGCAGTGCAGTTCAGCTTGCGATTGTCTCGATCTTTGTGGGTCCATTTTTATTCCGGCACCAGATACAATGAAACCCAAAAATAGATTTAGTTTGTGAGAAAGTGACACTTCTTGGGATAGGCGTATAATCGTTCGGATCGTAGGACTTCGAAAACCGCCCGGAGGTGTTGTAGGTGATCTTCCTCAGATTTACCATAAACTAAGATATCATTGAAGTAGACTACCACAAATTTCCCAATATGAGCTCAAAAGACTTGATTCATTAGGCGCATGAAGGTGTTGGACGCGTTGTACAAGCCGAAAGGTATGATTGTCCATTCATAAAGACCATTCATATTTTGAAGGTGGTTTTCCACTCGTCTCCGGGTCGCATTCTAATCTGGTGGTAACCACTCTACAAGTCAATTTTCTGAGAAGACAGTGGTATCGTACAACTGATCTAAAAATTCATCGAGTCGCGGTATGCGAAAACAATATTTGATTATAATTTTGTTTAGCTGTGATTGTCAATGCACATCCTTCAGGAGCCATATTTCTTGGGTACGATGAGGGTGAATACAACATATGGGCTGGTGCTTTCGCGTACCAATCCTATCTTAACAAGATCCTGCACCTGACATTGGAGTTCCTTCTCTGCGGGTAGTAACTGGTAGGCGGATCTATTTGGTAGAACCGACCCTGGTATGAGGTCGATGGCATGTTGGATGTCCGGTAGTGGGGTAACCCATCTGGGAAATCATCATTCATGACGTCTTGAAAATTGTGTAGGAGTGGTTGGAGTTGTGCAGGGATCTCATTATCCGTGCCAGTACCTTTTAGGACCAGAGCTAGTGCTAGGTGACTTGTGAGATTAATGTGTATTTGGTGTTGATCTTGGGCCGCGCATCTTTTACAGGCAATAACATGATGTGTTTTCCATCGTTCTTGAATGTGGATGGAAGTGTTTTTGAAGCCATCTTGTTGTGTTTCCCAATCAAATTGCCATGGTCGTCCTAACAAGTGTTTTTGAAGCCACCTTGTGTTTCCCAATCAAATTGCCATGGTCGTCCTAAAAAAATGTGACATGCGTCCATTGGGACAACATCACGCCAAACTTGCTCTTGTAGTTAATTGCCAATAGAGAATTCGACTAAGCATTATTGATCGACACAAATTTCGTTCCCTTTTTTGAGTCAGGTGAGAGAGTAGAATCGTGATGTTTTTGTCTATAGTTTTTTGACCATAAAGGTGGAGACGACATTTTTG